ATGGCAGAGACGAAGAGTTGCCTCATTTGGCGTTTACTGACAAAAGTGTTTCATTGAAATTAAGTGTAATCGGACTCAAGACAGACAAAGTGTTAAATCAAAGCCAATTCAATGACGCCAATCGTCCGCGACTTATGGCCAATATTTTGGTCGTTAATGACATGAAAGACAAGTCCAATAAGAAGATTGGTTTCGATACAATCACATCCATTGACGACGAATACACGCCCGGAGTTTTCGATGTAACCTATATTTTGATGCTTTTATAGAAATTAATTATAATTTATATTTTAATTGTTTTATTTGAATGAAAAGCGAATTCATTTAGAATTGGATACAAATAAAGAGTCGAAAGAGTCGGACGACGAGAGGAAGAGTTTCATTCAATGGAAGCCAATTGCATACAATTCTAACGACAAGATTATCGCAAACACTTTGGATGTGATTCCCTCCGACCCGACGATTGCCAACATAAGTGATTTCACCGAATATAATAGCCGTCTATTGGAGGCCTACTTCAGCGATCCGGCGAAGCAAACAAGTCATTGCTTTAGTTTAATGTTTGGCGCTTCCGATGACACCAAATACTACGACGACAAGAAACACAACGCCTTCTCATTAGTGGTGGGATTGGGTTCCGCACCGGAAGACAGTCTGTCATTTCTGGTCCAAATGATTATTGTGGTGGGCTTTGGTCTGCCATTGCTGGTGATGGTGGCCAGTGCTGGGTATCTCATCTACAGGAGGATTAGGAGACGAAATGCCAACGACTTGTTATTAAGTCAAAGCGATTCCAGATAATAATTGTTTGATTTAATTTAATTTTAGTATTTAATGACAATTACAAAAAGTATTTCAATTATGTTTTTTAAATAAATACAGTTTTTTATACAATCATTAAGTCTTTAATTAAATCTGTGATAAGAAGTACTGATTATAAAAGTTGCCAACAATTTAGTTGAATACACCTCTAAATTGAATGAAATGTCAAACGATGTAATTAAATGTCAATTGCATTGCATTGTTATCAATGATAACTTATCATTCATTGAGAGCATTAATAAAGTAAATGTTTTGTTAATTTGTAACAAAATGCACTCAATTTTAATAATTAGTAAAATGTAAAGCTTTATATAAAAGTGGATTAAAATAATTTTATAAAATGAATATTTCTTCCTTTAAACAACTCACACAGCGATGCAATAGTTAACCACAGTTTAGGAAATGCATTAAAGATTTTAACGTTTTCAATACTTTTGTTAGAATACTTTCACTATTGTTATTTTGAGAATTTGAAATATTTTTAACAACAATTAGGTTGACTTATTATGCCAGATTCATTTAGTATATCTCTATAGAAAAAGCATTATCCCATTGAAATAACATTACTCCCATAGACTTAATATTACCAATAGAATTAGTATTTTCATAGACTTAGCATTACCCAAGTTAATTTTATGCCATAGACTTAACATTGCCCATAGACTTAGCATTACCCATGTTAATCCTATGCCATAGACTTAACATTGCCCATAGACTTAGCATTACCCATGTTAATCCTATGTCATAGACTTAGCATTACCTATAGTATTAGCATTGCCATAGACTTAAGCTGTAAGATGTTAAACATTAAAGTATAGCCATAAGATTATCATAGGATCCATGTTATTTCCCATAGGGTGGGGGAGGGGAGCCGAACGATCCTATAAACCACATTCTTTATAAATGAATTGTGGTTAAAAATAGAATTACTATTAAAACTTAAATACCGTATAATTAAGTTTAAATAATGAGCATGCTACTAATTGAATGTAGTATAATAAATAAGTAAAACCCATATAATAATAATGCCCTAAATAAATGAGAGAGTTATCAAATATAGTCCATTATTATTAACACTGCAAATAAATGGTTAATAAGAACGAGCCTTAAATGATGATAAGCTAACAAATGCTAATCACAATCATCTCACATATTCAACGCAACTCACAATTAGGTTTATATAAATTGCCTTAAATTGCCTTATATGAAATATTATTAAATTTTCATTTAAAAATATATATTAATACGAGTAGATTGTAAAACATACTCGCATTACAATACTGTAGACAGTATATAAAAGTAGAGTACTCACATTATCTTAAAATTTGATCACCCAGATGCTAATTCTATCAATTATAATTGCCGGAACTGACACAACAAATATTATACATAATTATAATATTTATGTTAGCTAAAAGTGCAACTCATAAAAAGTGAAAACTTTATGATTCTATGATGAAAAACGTTTTCATCCAAAAGAATATGGTCAAAAGATGTCATTTCTATATTAATTGATCACATATTTTAATATAACATCGATGTCAGTAACTCATTCTGTCAATATCTCATTCCCTCGGTATTATTGGATGATATTGTGGGTGTGTACCAATGCTTTTTGTATGGGTTCAGTCAATGAGGGGGCAGAAAGGGGGAGCAGGGAATGAGATATTAACAGACTGAGTTACTGACATCGATGTAAAGTATTTTAGAAAATTTGTAAAATTTATAAAAATTTTAAAAGCCCTAGACTTTGTTTTACTATTTAAGAGAATATTCTGTAAATGTGTTAATAAATTTACTAAAACACTAATTTCACAAATAATTCATAAATAACATTAAAATAAGTTATAAAGATATAAATGATTTTGTACTGTATTTTCCTATATAGAGATCAATTGACTCGTAATACTGGACTAAATTGAGTGCAATTACCAGTCATTGCAATGCAATTATAAGAAACGTAAATAGTTTTGAAGAAATGTCAAAATAATGAACAAAAAATATATAAATATATATTTCGATTAAATTATTTTATTGTAAGAGAGAAATGGTTTAATCGATATTATAATACATTCGCGGAGAACAGCGATAGTAGTTATGAGTAAATTAAACATAAATTAATTGAATATTTGACACAAATATATAAAACAATAAATTAATTATAACAATGACTCGAAAAGAGCATAACATGTAATAACAGGAACATAAAGGTTAACAAAACTGATAACACGTTATAAACATTAAATATGAGACAAAATATGAACAAAAAACACAACGAGAGGAACGGGTTTCTGGTTTAGTACTTGTGTTCAAGTATTAAACCATAAACACTGATTAGAACAGACAACAAAAGGACAGACACTTTATTACAATCAATGGTAACACTATTTCAGAGTTAAAAATAGTTAAAGTAAGAGAAGAATGTCAGCCCATAGACAGTATACCGCAGAAAAGAGGTTTGGGTTTTACATAATAGACCCATCTTTTCAATTCTCAAATCTATTAACCTCTTCTAACAGCGAAATCTAATTGAATAACAAAATCATATATATTCATAGTTCTAGACTTTATATGAGAAAAAGTGGTGAAAACTATGCAAAGAATTTACAGTTAATGCAAACTTAATGCCAATGTAGGGAATGTTAACAACAATTAGGCATTCAATGAGATTTCAGTACTAAAAGGATTAGAAAGTTTGAAAATATATATGATTTAAACGAATGAGTATTCATTGCAGACTTGGGTTAAGCCAAACGATGCAAAAGATGTAAAGAAGTGGAAAATATTGAAAATGAAGTAATAGTGAAAAAGTGATAGAAATCATTGGCTCTGAAGTAGTTTAGGATTGACTTTAAATGATATGAGAGGCGAGAAGACGAACGAAGAGAAAAAGATTAATGGCACACATTTGAAGCAAATCTGATTCAACATTTAAAAGTATATTTGAGTCTAAAGAGTATCGCTGTTTAACGGTGTTTAATAGCCTCCGTCTCCACCTCCATATCCGCCGCCACCGTACGAGTCTCCGCCGCCATACGAGTCATAGCTGGGCTCCGGATAACTCTCTTTGTAGTAAACTTGTTGTTTGGATGTAATGATACTAAAACACAAATTTAAGTTAATTTAATGGTTAAGAGTAATAAATACCGCAAATAATAGTCTCGTTGCTTACGGAATGGGAAGAGGAAGAGGGAGGGGAAGGGGGATCAGAATCTTCTTCTTGGATTTGGCTAAGAAGGCGAGTGCCGCCAATTTCTTCAGTTTCTTGAGCTTCTTCTTGGATGCTTCGGTGGACTGAGGAGTGAGAGCCACGAGGACTAAGGCGATGGTCGCCACTATTATGAATATAGTTGTCGCACGCATTCTAAGACAATTAACAACACAGTTATTACCGATCCTATGGTTAACTAAACGGCAAAATAATCAATGCTTTTGCGTTCAAATTACTTGATATTTGCGAAAGTTTCAGATGCTATGAAAGGCACGGATAATATTTAGAAAACTTTTATTTTATTTTTCTCCGTTGAGAGAAATGAAACACTTTGATCGAAGTTATTTCAAACGAGAGTCACTTTCAAATGGATTAAATGTTGTCTAATTTGCTCTTAATATACGGCATATTTAAACACATTTAAAGATTTAGTTAAATATAGAAACAAAAGTTGATTGGAAGTGGAAATATGGCCATAAGCTATATGTGATGCGGAAATTAGGTCGAAGTGGTTAGTCGTATAATCAGTGAATTTGTATGAATTGCCAAAAAATTAAGAGTGATTTTAAAATAGATGGCGACCTGAAGAGTGAATGGACGCCTGAGGCCAGACCTGTGTTACATGTGATGCTTTGGTTGTATTCTTAGTTTCGGCTCAAATAGTGACCCAATTTCCGGATCGCGATCCGGAAAATGCAAAAAAAAAACTTTTGTTTTTATTCGTAAGACAAACGCAATATCCATGTGTTATTGCAAATGAGATTCACTTTCAAATTGATTAAATGTTTCCTAATTTGCTCTTAATTTACGGTATTTTTAAACATTTTTCAACATTCGGAAGGATTTTTTGTTTTTTACTCAAATGATAATTAGATAATGAATGGCTTAGGAATGCATATAATTACAGAATAAGCTATTTTCCCAAGTGTTTTATGATTAAATCTTTATGTGAAACGACAATTCAACGATAAATGAGACTAAATTAGTTTCAAATTTACATAATTTCCCGTAAAATAATAAGTTGTTAATTAATGACCAAAACTTATTGTGAGAAACTACTTTATACTTATCCGCAGTACAGTTACTGAACTACAGTATGTGAGAAGTTATACACATAAATGTATAATGGTCATTGATAATTATGCTATAAACTGAAAGAACATGATCATTTAGTGATGATAATGCATGTGGATTGGAATGGTGGGAAAATGTGCTCATAAACCACTTGCTAAATAGCATAGTCTAAATTCCTGTGCCATTCATTATCTAATTATCGATTAGTAAAAACAGAAATTCCTCTTTAGTTATATATAGACACAAAGTTGATTGGAAGCAGAAATGGCCAAAAGCTATATGTGATGCGGAAATTGGGTCAGTATCTGGTGGTAAGTGGTTAGTCGTTAGTCTTATATAATCAACAAATTTTATATGAATTGCGAAAAAATAAGAGTGATTTTAAAATAGATGGCGACCTGAAGAGTGAATGGACGCCTGAGGCCAGAGCTGTATTATATTTGACGGTTTTGGTTGTATTCTTAGTTTGGCTCAAATAGTGACCTAATTTCCGGATTGCAATCTATTTTAAAATTACTCTTAATTTTCCGCAATTCATATAAAATTTGTTGATTATATAAGACTAACGACTAACCACTTACCACCAGATACTGACCCAATTTCCGCATCACATATAGCTTTTGGCCATTTCTGCTTCCAATCAACTTTGTGTCTAAGACGCCTGAGGCCAGAGCTGTATTATATTTGACGGTTTTGGTTGTATTCTTAGTTTGGCTCAAATAGTGACCTAATTTCCGGATTGCAATCTATTTTAAAATTACTCTTAATTTTCCGCAATTCATACGAATGGATAAAATGCAAGAGTGAGTGGACGGACGCCTACGGCCACGGCTTTAGTCCTGCGACCACTCTTTCACATTCTCACTACGGGTCAAATGTCGCCTCATTCACAGCCAGATTAGCCATCATATTATCCATCATAACCTGTTAGATGATCATCATCTTCACACTTATACTCTACACAATGATATACAGATTATATTGCATTATTCATAATACAAATGAATTGCAGTTTACATTATCATTATATAATACTATATATTTATACAATAAAAATTCTATTAATTACTATAACAACTATAAATGCCATTCACTGTCATATATTCTACCATTAGTTTAGATAACTTATAAATTCAAATGTTTGATAACCGGAAAATATTGAATCAAATTTATTATCAATAATTTATTCCAAAATCTATTTTTATTTTCCAATATATGAATACAATTTGTAATTTTTAGTTAAAAAGTTATTTCACAGTAAATACTGATTTGTTGAATATAAATAAAATATATTTACAATTGAATTGAAATAATAAATTATTTATAATATTTATAATTTTTATGAGTTATATCTCAAAATACTTGAAGACCAGTCTCTATATTGCAATAATAATTAATGTGTTGTTGTACTCAATTGCCTTTAACCCTGTCTTTAACTTTAGTATTGTACAACTGATGGGGGTTAGGGTTAGGGTTAGGGGTTAGCTTACTATCAATTGTAATTACATAATTAGACACAGAAATTGCATGCATTTCTCTTGCAAAGTGTTTTATATCAAATATAAACCTATATAAATCCAATTGTGTTAGAAATATTAATCTCGATATAAAGTGAATGCATTAATATTTTATGAATGTATTAGTACCGTATGACCTCACTTAACTCTACCTGGTAATACTACGTGAAATCTAGTAAAAGGGGGTAATGCTATCAGTGTAACATTACCTCATGATCTAGGTTTAAAATTTAATGTGACTATAAATCATTTAGTAGTTCATACGCCAACAGTACAAAAAATAAACATTACCCATTAAAAACTTTAACTTTTAAGGATTAAAATCTAAATCTTCGATTCTTATAGTAATTGAATTATGACAGGTATTACAGACTCCGAATCAGCTACTGAAGAGACGGAAGTAGTCAATGAAATTACCGATAATTTTTCATAATACGACTATTTCTTAAGCTAATTATCTAATGTATATGTAATGCGTTGTTGTTTTAATGAATAAACATGCTTAAGTTAAATTTCATATATTATCACCAGTAACGGTATCTGAATTTTAGTAAAGGAGGCTAATGTTATCCGGATATTGTTACCCTTGATTTTAATAATTCCATGTGTGCTAGAATTGACACAATATTACGGGGTAGAGTTATGTGAGGTAATACGGTAATTAATGAAGAAATTCACTAATTATGCGGAGCTCTATACCCCTTCATATAAGAAATCCATCGCTTGGCAGTGGTTTGGAAAATAAGTTTATTCTCAATAGTATTGAGGAAAAGAAGTTGATTGATATGAGTGGAGTGATAGTCCCAACGCGCTCTGTTGGGCGCAGAGCCTAAGCCTAAGTGCCGCAAATCATACAAAGAACCGAAACCAGTGTCATAGAGGGGTAACATCTTCTCCAACGAGTCAACGCCTTGTCGGTAGAGTAGACCCGCTTTCACACAATGGCTATCATTACCGCTCATTGACAGGTCGTAGAGACCAAACAAGGAGTATATGAATCCATTCAATACATAACTGCTGGGAAGTGTCGGGTATTCTTCAAACCAAACATATTTATCCATAAATTTAGTCCGAAATCCATTGTCTTTAGAGTCGATATCAAACAAATTTAATGCATTTTTGGCACACAATAAGTACTTGTGGTCGAGAGTGTGTGTATAGAGTCGTGTGAGCAGAGAGATGGCCTGACCCTGGGCCATTCCTGAATACCAACCACTCTTCAGTTGTAACGCACCGTTTGACAGCTTTCTATTCACATCAATACTAAAGCCTCCGTTAGGCTTCTGATTGGCCACAAACCAATCGCCGGCTGTCTTAGCGTACGCCTCGTGCGCTGACGCCATGAGTCTAATGTTATCTATCATTGCCTTCCCATTCATCACCAAACGAATCAATTGTGTGTTTCGTGTCTTAACCGTCAGTTTCTTCTCTCCTATATTAAGACCCTTTTGGAGATCGATATTTAAATCTCTGTTCAATGATTTCCACATACTCTCGGTTCCCATTCCATAGATTATATCGTTATTTGTGGCCAATATATCGAAATCACTGGTCGTATAAGTAATTGTGAATTCCTTAACAGAAGTACCGGAAGAAGCCGTGAGAACAGCTGTGAGCGAAAAGTTGGCTAAAGGTTTGACATCAAACGCGAGGATCAAATCACTAATTGATTTGCGTTTAAGTTTGATAACAACGTTGAGTCCGTCAACCAATA